AGAGAGAGAGAGAGAGAGAGAGAGAGAGAGAGAGAGAGAGAGAGAGAGAGAGAGAGAGAGAGAGAGAGAGAGAGAGAGGTGGGGGGAGGAGAGGGGAGAGGAGGGATGGGAAGGACAACCTGAGAGAGGGGGAGGGAGCAGGAAGGAGGGTTGTGAAGGAGAGAGAGGAGGGAGGAGGATTGGGAAGGAGAAGAGAAGAGGATGTACCCCGATGTTGTTGAATGAGTCGTAATGGTTGTTGTCAATTGCAACAGCTATCTTGAATGATTGGTATGCCAGGCCAAGATCTCCAATGCCTATTGCTATTTGCCCAATGTTGTACCTGCCAGTAGGTGGAGTGGGAAAAAAGAAAGCAATTACAGAAAAAAAGGACTAATTGGAGAAAGTTGACCAGGGGAGGCAGTGTGCGTAGGAAGTAGTCTTTTTTTTTTTTTTGTTTTGTTTTTTTTCTTCCTTCCTTTCAAGATAGGAAGTAGTTTTCGGTACGTTGCAGGTTGGTGTGTTGATTGCATGCTTTTTGGTCAGTCAGGGGGATGGTCCCCTGCAGGGCGAGGCCCCTGTGAGCGAAACTGGGTAATGCTCCTAGATGAGACCCCGGCCTCGTTGATGTCATTGCAACGAATGGACTCGCTTGCATTTAAAAAAAAAAAAGAAGCTGAAGGTTATAAAATAAAAGGGAAAATTGCATCTGTACCCCACTTAAAGATCGGAATACCCGCTATACCCAGTCCCAGTGCACAGCTTGTATCTATACCCAGTCCCTGTCAAACTTAAGGTAATACCCTACGTTTCCCGTGCGCCAACTTATATGTGTAAGCAGTCACACAGGCCCTTAGTTGGGGAGCACAAAATTATGGTTATGCCCAGGGACCGGGCAGGCAAAATTGGGTGTGCAGTGTGCACATAATTTGCCTGAGTATGTGCAGAAATTGAGCATTCCGGTAGTTGGGTATAACTGCAATTTGGCAGTACCAACCTTGGCCCACCTTGGTCCTGGGCATGCAAATAATTTGCACTGACCGTTTCCTGGGTACAGATGCAAGTTGGGCACTGGGACTGGGTGTAGCGGATATTCCCATCTTTTAGTGGGGCACAGATGCAATTTTCCCAAAATAGAAAGAAAAAAGGTTGGTTACTGAAACGAAATCGGACATGAAAAAAAAGAAAAAGAAAACAAAAAAGAAAAAAAGAAAAAAAGAAAAAAGAAATCGGACATGAAAGCAAGGTTTGCATCTCAGCAGAAAGAGACATAAAAGAAAGCAATCCAGCGGCCTAGCTCAGTTGGTAAGGCACGCAAGTAGCATTCAATCCCCATTCGCCTCATGTATCTTCCTGGGCAAGCTTGGCGCCGGCCACCTAGAGATATGCCGTTGGTCCCCCCGAGTGGCATTGAGCAGAGACTGCTGATGTTCATAGGGGGAGGGGACCGGAGGGGAGGCACAGTGACTGGCCCATCGAAGAAGCTCGAGTGGCATTGAGCAGAGACTGCTGATGTTCATAGGGGGAGGGGACCGGAGGGGAGGCACAGTGACTGGCCCATCGAAGAAGCTCGGTCCTGATGCTACCGGCTGACCCCTGGCCGGTATCGCCCACCTGCTGTAGCAGGTATCGCACCTGCTGGTGGGTGCAGCTCCCGCATGTTCC